CAGTGAAGCGACTAACCACAGCACTCCCATTGGTATTTGATAACTATTTTATCTCGACACAAAGCCACACTAATTTTGATTTCTTATTGCGTCAGTGCGTCATCAGACTATACCTTCCGCAAGTGTAGTTGTGAGGTTTGGCGGGGAGTAAATTAGGATCAAATGACGAAACTCAAATTTGACTTTACATCAGCGAAGTAATGTTTACTGACGCAATAAAAAAAGAGACAGAACGTGCAGTAGTGTCGAACAAGAATCTTTTTCTGACTTTTCGGATTTTGCCTTCACAATAAAATAAATAGTACTCTAGTTCAACGAGACCAAAGAATGTGCCTTAGCCAACATGACGGTTCGGTGTCCTCAATGATTTATGCACAACGTAGGCTTGTGTAAACTCCTAGATCGCGAACTGTCATGGCCGATGCTCCCCGCTTTGCATAAATTAAAACCTTCGCCGCTGCGATGTGTGTTCACCATAATAATTGTGCCGCAGTACTACTTACTTTACTTAGTTTTAATTTTACTTTTTCAACCTCTGTCACCGTTAAACGTCGAGGAGAGATACTTTTTGTGGTAGGCCAAAAATCTGCAGCTCTTTGAATTGGGACGTCTAAGGGCACTATTACTGTTACGCCGAAAAGAAGGCTAACGTGTTTCTTTTCTTGGGAAGTAATCCATTTTTTACATAACATCTTTTTAATTCCTCACCGCTATAATAAGAATCTATACCACCAGTCATGCTACACTAGGCTGCAGTCGAGTGCACCGGTGTCTTCTGTGTAGCGGTTAAGTACTTTGTTGGCACACACAGGGGACCCAAGTTTGATTCCTGAGTAGGGAGAATTATTTTTATCGAGTATTTCGGTCTTTCTGCTGGGGTACAATATTCCTCTCCGTCGGGGTTGGTACTGACTGATGTGGTCGAAATATTATACTGTGTCGATGGGGGTGTAAAAACACCTACAATTGAACAGTTGAGTGCTCACGGCACCTTTCCCCATTTACCCTTTACTTATCTCTAACAGTGTGCCCTATAGTAACCTGCAAATACTCAAGAGTTCACTATCAAGTACATTACGATTACAGTACAAGTTTATGACCCACACAATAATTTGTCACCATCAGCTTTGCTGAATCATTTTGTTTCGTTTCCATAAGAGAGTGGGTTTTTTTGGAACACACACTTTCCCCAGAGACACTAAAATATACTGACTATCTACCTCTCTCTCTCTCTCTCTCTCTCT